ACTGGTACTTGTCCACAGCCACGAAAACAGGTGGGTGGATAGTGAGGAACATATTTAGATATACTGGTTAGTACCATCTAGGCACACATTGTTAGATATGGTGGTGCTGTCCTATAGTGGCTGCCTTTTGGGAAGACATTTTCCAGATCCTCTCTACTTGGTTTACACACCCAGTAGCCCTCGACCTGTTAGTGACTTAGGAATTGTAATCCTGATTACCTCACCAAAACGCAATTCGCACTGTAACTACAAATAATGACAGCTGCCAAGTAAAGCATAGCTCACTCCTGGAAACACCCCCCACCCCCATTCTTCTTGAGACTAAAAACAGAGTGACATCTGCTATGATTCAAGCTAAAACTGAAGCGGTTATTAAGTATAAGGTAACAAAATACACCAAAATGTTGCAGCCGTGGGTGGAACATTATTTTACCCCACATTTCTACCCTTTTACTTCCCTGTTGACATCACTCAATCATTTACTATAGCCTACCAAACCCCCACTTTACTCCTTCTCCTTCCTAGAGCTCTCCTCCCTTGCCAACTTTCCCTTTCTCTCTCTCTCTCTCTCTCTCTCTCTCTCTCATGTTCATTTCTACTTTTGTTATCTTATGGACACTATTTGTCCCTTTGATTTGTTGATTATCTTTGACTGACATCAAACTGTATCCCAGGTAATCCCATGTGACCACCCCAAGTTATAGAATTTGCTCTTTGCTACTTAGGTTGAATGCAAACACCACTAAGTTCAGGTTCACTTTTGAAAAATTCATATAATCGTTTGTACACATTGTGGGAACTCGCTTCAAATGGTAGAGCTTGGTTAAATGCACACAGCAACTCGCTTTCTTTTTAAGGCCTTTTTAGCCCACTTTTATATAAAGAAAATGTTCCACAAAGCTTCCCACGCAGGGGTATTCACCATCAATATAAAAAAAATTCAGCCTCCTGGCTCTCTCAGATATAAACACTCTTCCACTGGCCTTCCTCTTCAGGCTTACGTCTGTCTCCTGCAGACTCTTTCAAAAATATGGCTCTCGCACACAGCTGGCCACTAGCACACAGCTAGTCTCTAGCAGCCCCTTGCTGCTTTTGGCTTCCACCTCTCCTAGGTGGAGCCCTGACTCCTATCTGCCGGGGTGGAGCCCTCCTGACTCCTATCTGCCGGGGTGGAGCCCAGAACCTTGTCCTGACTCTATGAAAAGGCCCGCACACACACCTGTGCAATCCGTTTCCTGGCCATTCCCAAAACCTGGTCCCAGGATTGGAGATTTCATCCCTCCCAGATCTCTTTGAAATCTCCAGGCTCCAGATCCCAAAACAGACCTTACAAACAAAGGAGGAAAGTGAAAACCCACTTTCCTCCATATCAAACACTTACCTTGGAGCCCCTCAAACTGCCTTGTTGAGAATCCTGGGTGACAGGATTGCCACACTGTCACATCTCCCCCCCCCCTTTTGTTTTGATCCTGTAGGGGGCAGAACACACAACTTATATATCTTCTGGCACCTCTGTGCCAGCTCTCACTTACAGGGGTCCAATCTGGTCTGACCATACCTTTCCTAAAGGGGAACTCTACCCAATGACTCCTTTGGTGTCTCTCCCCAAGCCCCATTGTCACTCTGCTATGGGCTCTAATCAGACCTTGCCTACTCTTTTTCCGGGTGCACTTCCATAAACACTCTTGAAATCCTAACGGGGTCCCCCTGGCCTTTCTATCGACCTTTCCTGCCCCTTTGCTTCAGGTGCTCAGGTTTCCTAATACCTCTCTCAGTATTACTGTCCCAAGGCTGTAGGGGACCTATTTCTACTGTACTTGTACCAGAACCACCCCCCTGATTTCTTTACCTTTAGCTATCAAACCTGCATGACTCATTACCATAGCATTCAGTTTACCATGAACCGTTATATTCCAGTCAATATTACACTTCTCAATATCTTTTCCAGCATTAGTTAGGACAGTGTCTGCAGAGGGCACACACACCATAGGGCAGCCATCACCCACGTGAACCTCCCAAAATGCCACTTCACCTGGTGTCATGCAATCTGCAGGTGGCTGTCCCACCATTTTAACTTTTTCAAATCCTGTACAGATGAGCTCTCTTCTGATCCATTTTGCCAGTTCACATACCATTTCTCCCTGTATTTCAGGTGTCTTATCAGACCTGCTACATAAACCTCTTTTTGGCCCAATGACCCTGATTTTTTATGCACATCTGTTTGAGCCCTGGTCAGGATCTCTGCTGTTCTCTGGTCCATGCTTGGCCCTTCCATCTCATATGGTTTGTCCAATGGTGCAGTAAACACACCCTTCACGGACAACTGACCAGCACCATAGCAGCAGAAATGCTTCCCACCTGGCTGTTAGGAGGTGAAACCTTTTATGACTCATTTTCCATTTCTCCAAAACCTCTCTCATATCACATTGACAGGTAGTTCAGCGGCATACCCTGATACAACTTTTAACACCATCAACAAATTCGGACCCAAGACCTTCCTGACGATATTTAGGACACTGGGAATGCTGAGAGACTCACCCGCTGAGACTTGAGAAGCTAAAACTTTTAAAGGGGCCTCCTCCGAGCTGGAGGTAACCACAGCCTGGTGCTCCACCAGAGCACTGCCAGGTGCTGGGCTCACTCTCAATGTCTCAGATTCAGCATCCACAAGCTGCCCCCGATCATTCCCAGTGACAACATCATTTTTACATTCCATGCCAACATCACGTTTGTGGGTCACAGACAAAGTCTCTGCTGTATGCACGCCCTTATCTATAGGTTATTCTATAGACCCTCCTGCTGGCACAGCAGAAACAGTGTCCACCTTATTTTTTTGCATAAAAGCCTCATCTATCAACGAGATTAGCCTTTTACCCCAACTATCCCAATCCATTGTATATGTGTTCAATTCACCAGTGCTCCTCAGCACTGATCCATCCGCCCAAGGAGACACATAAGAATAGACAGGTTTAGTTGCAGATCCATGGCACAAATCACTCTGGATCACGTCTGACTTGGGTAACACCTGTTTTCCACCAGCAGGTTGCAATACCTCACATGCACCACTTTGCTCTGGTGATACTTCATGAATTACCCACACATTTGTATTTTCCACAGGTTGTATTAATCCATTGTTCACCTGTACACTTTCAGTATTAATAGATTGCACCAACACACTCCTATGACAAGGTGCAGTTCCACTCTGCTCTACCAGAGTGACATCGCAGTTGTCCAGGGCAACCTCTGGCTCCAATACACGGAGACCCCTGGAGATGTCCAAGGACACCTGAGCTGTCTTACCACCAGTTGCTATGGGAAATGACCCATCTTTAATTACAGCTTTTGCACTGCAAGAGCTTAGGGTTTTCCCAACAGCAGAACATTTCACATCATCAACAACATTATCAGCATTTTTAGCTCTTGTGGGCTGTACTAGCCTACTACCAACCTGTGACTGGCACATATTAGTGACATCACTTTCTTTTTGAGAACCATGCACAGGTTTTACTTTAACCTCTAACTCCCCACTGTACAAGGCACTGCACAGGGAAAAGTCACTTTCAAAAGCACATTCAGTGGCCCAACTAACTGGGGTCACTCCTACATCAGAATGGACAGTCTCATAACCAGTCCTTCTCAACATGACAGTCCCAGCCATGGTTATATCACACACAGTCTTACCCACCACAGTAGTAGGTTTCACCATCTTCATTTGAGTGCGTCGTCTCATAAACGCATCCTCAACTGCACTTTTCTTGGCAACTTTTCCCTTGCCCCAAGGTGAAGTAACAGATGCCCTCATAGGCTCCATGGACTCTCTGGCACCCCCTGCAGGCCCAACAGGAACTTCCTCCCTGTTACAGAGGTGGTTGCCGACATTTTAAAACAAGAATCTGAGATTGCAGTTGTCAATATTTGCTCAGTATCAGCGGTATTCCAGAGTCTGGGACAGTAAAAGATCCCATGCCCCCACTGACCACATTCCACGCAGGGTATATTTCTATACTTCTCTTTATTGGGATACTGAGCCACATCTCCAATGCAGCTCCTCCTTCCAGGCAATATTTTTTCTCCGGTCGCCATGGGAGATTGCACTCTCCAAGCAGAACTTCGCTGGCTAACACGTTGTATTGGCTCCTCTTGATGCCACTTGCCATGATCCTTGTACGACATAGCCCCCCATACACAGACAGCCCGACTGGCCTCCTCTGTGTTGCTATGGGCCTTCACTCTTGGTCCTGGCCTCTGGTCAGCCCCTCTCCTTGCACATAGCATAGGCTTCTTTCTGCTGGACCAACTCTCAAGCCGTGACACATTCACATTTTTCACAACAGCTACTGGTTTAACTGCAGCAGCGTTGCCAGGGGCAACAACACCCCTCTCCCAGGTACGGACATCCTGAAGCTCTCTCCTTGCACTGAAGGTTGGCTTGCTTTCCTCTGGAGGTTGGTTCAATGCTGCCAGGTGCCGTTTGCACCAGTCCACAGCAGACTCACCCACATCTAAATTTCCCGGCTTGGCTGGGGCATGCGGTATATGTCCCCCTACCCACAGGGCTCTATCTCTCATCTCAGCAAACATTGCTTCCTTTTTCTGTTTTGACCGCCCCATCTTTGCAGTCATGCACACAGCAGTGTGTTACACAGTTCAACAACACCATGGAACACTGTCTCTTTAAGGAAAAGTCCTTTCTTTAGCTGGTTCTCCTCACCTGCACACACAGATAGTGCAGACATATGCACCAAACACAGTTCATATCACAAATGAACTTACTTCAATCACCGGGATCTCCAATTCTGCCCACTGCATCCTCCACCATATGTGGGAACTCGCTTCAAATGGTAGAGCTTGGTTAAACGCACACAGCAACTCGCTTTCTTTTTAAGGCCTTTTTAGCCCACTTTTATTTAAAGAAAATGTTCCACAAAGCTTCCCACGCAAGGGTATTCGCCATCAATATAAACAAAATTCAGCCTCCTGGCTCTCTTAGATATAAACACTCTTCCACTGGCCTTCCTCTTCAGGCTTACGTCTGTCTCCTGCAGACTCTTTCAGATAGGAGCACCCTGACTCCTATCTGCTGGGGTGGAGCCCTCCTGACTCCTATCTGCCGTGGTGGAGCCCCCCTGACACCTGTCTTCCAGGTGGAGCCCAGAACCCTGGTCCTGACTCTATGAAAAGGCCTGCACACACCTGTGCAATCAGTCTCCTGGCCATTCCCAAAACCTGGCCCAAGATTGGAGATTTCATCCCTCCCAGATCTCTTTGAAATCTCCAGGCTCCAGATCCCAAAACAGATCTTACAAACAAAGGAGGAAAGTGAAAAGCCACTTTCCTCCGTATCAAACACTTACCCTGGAGCCTCTCAACCTGCCTTGTTGAGAATCCTGGGTGACAGATTGCCACACTGTCACAACATTAGCACTGTAAAGTGAATTCTGTTACTTCATCCATTTTCGGTGGGTGTTGTATACTTTGCTTAACTCTATGGACCTATAATTCTTGTGTTAATATGTTAATATTTAGATTTTTGTAAAGTGCTTGAAAACCAATAAAAACATTTAAAAGAAAAACCTTCTTAGTGTGATTTAGTACATATAAAATAAGAAGTCCTAATACAGTATGTGCTATATAGAAAAAAATATATATTTCATAAATGATTGTGAAAAGCGTATATCCTGCATGTATTCATACATAAAGAAAACTCCTGATTTGACCAGCGGTACATAAATAATTGTGAAGTTATTCTCACAGCTCATCCAGACTCGCAGAACAGAAAGAAAACTATTTATCTGATGTTAAAATGCCTGGAAACGCAGTGGGATACTTCAACAACTCAGACATGTTTTATACATTAAAAAAGAATATGTCAAATATGATACTACATTAACATAATAAAGGATTGGGAAAAAGTTATCCTGAAATCTTTGTATTTCTATTCCTTGTTAGTTTTTACTTAACCTAACTTTTGATTTTCATTGTGTATTCCCTAAAAGGAGCCACTGGTGGGCAGCAGTTAAATGTCTTAAAATTGTATCTGTAAACATGCAGGTTCTGATGCTACTCTAACCATCTCATTTGCAGCATAGAAAACATATTTTCAGTGACCTAAATCAGCTTGTAGTTGGTGCCAGGTTAAAGATCACAATGTGTTTACAAAGCACTTGTGTTTTTAGGTAGATCATTACTAACTTTTAACAAGCCTTAATATCTGAAACAAACATGATGCTAATTGTTGCTGCTTTAACTTGTTATTTCAAAGAGCAGACATATTTTGAAATGTGTTTTTATAAGAATATGTTTTTGTAAGAAATTCTTCAGAATGATGTGCTCTGTGTCAATCACCATGTTTCTTTGTCCGTTATCTCTCTTTTTTTTTTTTTTGCTTTTTAAACAGACTCATGACTGTCAGAATGTTAGCATTTAAATCAATGTATCATTCAACTTTATGCCTTTATTATTATTATTATTATTATACAAGATTTATATAGCGCCAACAGTTTGCTCAGCGCTTTACAATATAACGGGAGACAATACAGTAAAAATACAGTTCAATACAAGAGGGGTTTGATTTACATTATTTATGTTTTTAAGTTATCTTTTTGTGTATAGTTTATCCGTTGGTTAAAGGGAAACTCCAACAAATATAAAAACAGTTATGTATTCATTAACCAGTTTCTAACTTTGGTTTTACATGATATGCCCTGGTCCTCTTTCTCTGCTGTGGCTATAGAGCTGTCAGAAATTGCCTACATAAGCTGTCATTTTGACAGTTGGGTCAGGATCCATGGTGCAGAAACACCAACAGTGCTCTTTTATTAAAACAAAGCCTGTATTTAGGCTCTGTTTATAAATGCACTGTAACAATAATGTTACACTAGGAATTGTCAACTAAAGCTGAGCTCCGGGTTTCATTTAACTTTGTATAGTTTGGCCCATGTGAACTATTTCCTTTGCACCAGCTGTCAGTATTGTGGAAACTATATGTAACACAAGCTATATACAATATACAGCACTGTGTTCCGGCAACAATATGGGGACCTCCATTCCCATTTCTGGAACAAAATCAAGTTTGGGTACGTACTGCTCATTCATTTACAGGAAGCTTTGTATGTTATGAATGAATACAAGTTCCTCTGATTGGTTAAGGTAGAACTCATGATGCCATCCGCCTCCCTTTCCAACTTAACCAAAAGGGAACCTTGTATTTGATTTCATTGATAAAATACAAGGCCTCCTGTGAGCTTGGACCAAACAAATTATTTAAAGTTAAGTGAAACTTGGAGTTAGGCTTTAACCCTTTCGCTGCCAGGTCCTGTGCTCCAATTTTAAAACTCAGGTGGCCAGACCATTTTTGCAATTTTTCCTTTGTTTTTTAAAATGTCAATTACAGCTTTCAAAGTTTGTTTGAAAAAAATCCCCAACCATGCATTTTCTGAAAGGATAGGACCAGTAGCATAAATAGAAGGTGGTACTGATTTTTTAGGCCCCGTGATATTTGCACAAATGTCAATCAAAAGAATACTTTTGCTAAAAATACACTAAAATCATTATTAATGGACACACAATTATGCATAAATCCCTACTAAATATAAAATCTAAAACTCTATAGTAGGAGTTAATAAATAACAAATATTTGTCAATCTTAAATTGCGCCTTTTTTGTAAAATGGTGAAAATCAAAAAGATACTCAAATTGTAAAAAAGCTATTTTAAAAATCTGGAGGTTATAATTTTTCATTTACAGCTAATTTTGTAAAAGACCGCTCAAACCATACATTTTCTTAAATCACATGACCCGTAGAATAAAAAACAATTGCTACTGATTTTTTACGCCCTGTAATATTTGCGCAACTGTTTTCAGTAAAAATACACTAAAATCATTTTACATTAAACTAAAACTTTACTAGGATTCAGTGATGAATGAACATAGGAGTGTTTGGTACCGATCACACACAGTTCATTCAGGAAAGGGTTGGTAAACATGACATGTTTACCAGCCCCTCCCCCTCCACTCTCCACCCTGATACTGATCTTGCACCCAGCTGCAGCAGGAGGGAGAGGGAGGGAAGGGGAATGCGGCCAGCATTGCTGTGGAGATTGGTGTGGGGGGGGGATCAGTTCTGCTGGGGAGGGAGGGGGGGGGGTATTCCAGATTGGAGAACCATGGGGGAATATATTTGGCACATTTTATGTCCCCTGAGGATCTCCTGCTCTAGCTGAAACCAGCAGGAGGGGGAAGAGGGAAGCCAGTCAGCAGAGGAGAGGCATTGAGGGATGTGTGAGGGTGGGGCCAATACAGGGGTGGGGGAGATCTATTTATTTATTATAGGTACTTATATAGCACCATCAATTTATGCAGTGCTTTACACACACACACATATATATATATATATTGTAGATTCACATCAGTCCCTAACCCTCAAGGGGCGTACAATCTAAGGTCCCTAACTCACATTCATACATACACATAATAGGGCCAATTTAGACAGGATCCAATTAACCTACCAGCATGTCTTTGGAGTGTGGGAGGAAACCGGAGTACCCGGAGTAAACCCACGCAGGCACAGGGAGAACATGCAAACTCCAGGTAGCTGGTGCCGTGGTTGGGATTCGAACCAACGACCCTAGTACTGCCAGGTGGAAGTGCTAACCATTTAGCCACTGCGCTGCCCAGCGTTAAATCCCCTGTGGCTCACATACAGCACCCAAACCTGGAGGGAGGGGAAAGGAGAGGAGAAGAATCCGGCAGTTGCATGGGAGACACAGGGCAGAACAGCAGCGACAGTGTTGGGAGGGGGGGTGTAGGGTCACATTTTAGGTGAATATCTGCAATCAGTGGATTTTCAGCCACTGATCACAGCTATTGGTTTGTTCAGCAGAGTCTGCTGAACAGCTTGGCTATAGGTTCATGGACAAGGAATACCACGTCAGTACGGCGTATTGACCTTGCCAGCTAAAAGCAGTTCTGTAGGTCAGTACACCATACCTTATAGGTGAGTAGGTGTTTTTCAAATATATACCTATTTAACACCTTGAAAATCCCAATTTGCCCCCTTTACCCTTCCTTTAACTGTCATTTTTCTGCCTTTTTTTCTATCATTAATATTAAGTGCCATATTTGCAAAGTATGCAAAAAGCCTTTCATATGTCAATACTTTGGCTTTTCTTTGTACCATAAACATAATGTTATTGTCAGTATAAACAGAACAACTTATAGAATTACATTTTCAACAGTAGTTGTTTTAAAATGAACACTAGTCAACCTATTTTTTTTCTATTGTTATCTGCTTTTTGTTTGTTGCATAGACAATATTTACAGCCTTAACAGTCCTGAAAAAAACTGCTCTGGTCCATAAGTGGTATACAAGTATGAGAGCTGAATGGATAATACATTGATTTTTTTTAAATATTATTGTATGCATGTACTTGAATTTTATTTGGTGTAAGCCTCTGACAATCTTCTGTAAAGCAACACAAAGACTGGGAAAGGAAGGGGATACTAGGAGCCAATCAGTGTGTGCTGCATGAAAATTTGCTATCAAGGAACATGCTGCTAGAAGTAGAGAACAAAGAGCACAATGAAATGGGAGTGGGGTATAACACTACTGTATTCCCATATTGTAAAAGAGAAAGTGCCTTTCTATCTGGCTGTGCTATCTGGCAAGGCTGTATAAATCTCAGGGTAGATGAACAGAAACACAAATCACTTTGCAAGTAAAACAGGTCCCTTATAAGCAAATAATCTGTGTATTTAGCTACCTGAAAAGTCCTTCTCAGCGTCCAAACAGGGAGTATCCCCTATAACCATATGTGAACTCTCCTTTTTCAATATCCTTCAATGTGCAATTCTCACAACTTCACAACAAAATCTTCACCTTCAACTTTGTACCGTCAAAAAAATGCACATAAACACACATTACACTCATAACTTTCTTGAATAAGTCACACTCACAAAAAACGTGTCAAAATCCGTGCATATCCACTCCACCACGTGTTCACTTCTAATCATCTGCAATTCTTACTCTTATGCTCTATCTATATTTAAAATTGCCTTATAGCAAGTTCCACAGAAGACTTTCTTCAATTCACAACTTCCTCTTTCCATCCTCCTCTCCAGAAGAAGTGTACCCTCCGAAAAAATTATATTACATAGTGTAGTATAATCAATTCCTCAGTATCATGTCCTCCTGTGCTCCACTCTTTATCAAATTGTGACCACCAGTAAGAAAGTGATAAAACACTCCACCACCTCACCGAGCATGCACCTTACTGGACTATATCAGTCAGATAGCCTTAGATAGAGACAGCTCTTCCTGACCAACATAACTCCCATTTTTCCAATGATAGCGATATGCAGGTGAAAACAGATAGGCATACATCATGCATTACAGTTTAAAA